AGTCCGGGAACGGAAAAAAACCAAATTGTTGCCTAAAAATATTAAAGATAATTGTCTGAGAATAAAAAAGAAGCATGGAATAAGAATAGCTCAATTGAACATTAGAACTCTGTTATCTAATATTGACAATCTTCAATTGATGGTTAATGATTTTAAATTTGATCTTATTGCATTAAATGAAACAAGATTAAGCAGTGAAATAAAGGACGTGCAAATAGGTATACATGATTACTGTATTTATAGGAAAGACCGTAATAAGAATGGCGGAGGGGTTGCAATATACGTTAATGAAAATAAACTTAGCCACAAACTAAGATCAGATCTTCTGGTAAATGATATCGAACTTGTTGCTGTTGAAGTGAAGCAACCTATGTCTTCACCTATGATCGTTTTAGCTTGGTATAGACCCCCTGGAACAAGTATCGAACTATTTAAAGCCATTGAGAATATTTTGTTAAAAATTGACGAGGAACGAAAGGATATCATATTTTTAGGAGATTTCAATTGCAATATACTTGCAGACCCTTTATCGTGCTACACAAAACGATTGCTTGAAATTTGCCAAAATTATTCTCTAAGCCAAATGATCAAAGAACCCACGAGGGTAACACCGCTTTCATCTACCCTTATTGATTTAATTTATACTTCTAACTGTGAGAAAGTGGTTGAAAGTGGCGTCATTCATTTAGGAATAAGTGACCACTCACTTGTATATATTGTATGGGGTCGAGTTCGCAAATCATTTCCTAACCATGTTTATAGGACATATAGAACTTATAAGAATTTCAATGTAAATGACTTTTGTGACGATCTAGGAAACATTGATTGGCAAAGTGTTTTTACATGTACTGATGCCGATTCTTCGCTACATGAATTCCAGACAAAGTTTTCAACATTATGTAATTTACATGCTCCGGTCAGAAAAAGTCGTGTAAAAAAAGATCGGAAACCCTGGATAAATGCTGAAATAATTAATCTTATTCATGAAAGGGATAAGTTGAAAGAAACTGCAACGCGAAATAATACTCGTGAGAATTGGAAAGCATTCCGAAAAAGCAAGAATCACGTTATTTATAGAATAAGAACGAACAAAAGAAAAACATTTCAAAAGAATATTAAAGACTCGCAGGGTAATGTTAAGAAAACATGGACAAATCTTAACATGCTGATACCACGCAAGAATAAAAATGTGAAAATTCAATATTTAAAAATTGATGGAGAAGAAATTCATGACACGAAAACAATTTCACAAAAATTGAATGAATTCTTTGTCAAAATAGGTCCTTCACTTGCTAGTGTCATTCAATGTACGAGGCACATAAATGCAATCAATAATGTTATGCTATTCTCACCGCATACGCTGACAAATATCTTTCAAATTATCCCAGTAACCATAGATGAAGTGAAAAAACAATTGTTGAAACTATCAAATGACAAAGCAATGGGATGTGATATGATACCGATGAAACTGATTAAGCTGGCAATTTCCAGTATTAATGAACCTTTAACACATGTTATAAATACCTCTATTACTACTGGATGTGTCCCTATCGAATGGAAAAAGGCAAGAGTAAGTGCTTTACATAAAGGTGGAACAAATGAACCCACAAATTTTAGACCGATATCGATACTGCCAATACTTTCGAAAGTACTAGAACGGGTAGTGTTCGATCAGTTATATGACTATCTGAATAGTAATAATCTAATCAATGTATATCAATCTGGCTTCCGGCCACTGCACTCAACAGCCACTGCATTGCTGAATTCGACAGATGAATGGCTGAAAAGCTTCGAACAAGGCAAAGTGGTGTGCTCTGTAATGATAGATTTGAAGAAAGCCTTCGACACAGTTGATTTTGATTTACTAATTGAAAAATTAAAATATTATGGTATTGGACAACACACACTTAATTGGTTCACAAGTTATCTGTATGAGAGATACCAAAAAACCACAGTCCATGGTATATCATCTGAGTTTTTACCTATTCAATCTGGAATTCCACAAGGGTCCATCCTTGGACCTCTTCTCTTTATTATGCACATCAACGATTTACCCTTAGTACTAAAAAATTGTAAAATAAATATGTATGCTGATGACACTATTTTATATTATGCTAGTAATGACTTTTCTGAACTGGAAAACAAAGTAAACGAAGATTTAGTAAATGTGAAAAAATGGCTTGATGTCAATAAGTTAAGTTTAAATATAAATAAAACAGAATACATTGTACTAGGAACAAAAAATCGTCTTAAACTAGCACGTAATACAAATTTGAATATTAACATAGATGGAACCCCTCTGAAAAGAGTTACTACATGCAAACATTTGGGAGTGATTGTGGATGAAACTTTATCATGGACAGACCATATTAAATCTGTACAAAAGAAATGTAGTAGTGGATTGTATATGTTAAAATCAATACGTAATATTGTTGGTAAAGATACATTGAAATTAGTATATAATGCATTGATTTTATCCCACCTCTCCTATTGTGATGTAATATGGGGAAACTGTGGAAAGTGCCTTCAAAATGATCTCCAGAAACTTCAAAATCGGGCAGCTCGAATAATAAATGATACCCCTTGGGATTCATCGGGAAGCTACAACCTTAATAAACTTGGATGGGATACGCTTGAACAGAAAAGGAAGGAAAATATCGCTTTAATGACTTTCAATATACTTAATAAAAAAGCCCCTTCTTATTTAATTGATAAATTTTCGTTCAGAGAAAGACCACATAATACGAGAAGTGGCAATCTATGTATTAAGACAATCCAGCCTAAAACGGATAGTACCAAACGCACATTTGTGTACAGAGGCGCTTGCCTATGGAACTCACTACCACACGAAGTGCAAGCTGCACAAACCAAGTACAGTTTCACAACAGGTCTCAAAAGAATAACAAATTTATAATAATATACAATATACTATGCTCAAATATGTCTATGAACTTTCGAATGTTTCCTTTTTATTTTTGATGTGTCCATTTTTGTGTTGTTTGAATTTATATTGTTGTGTATGCATCTGCTCAGGTATTTTTAAATTTCCATATGATGTAATATAATTTCATTTCATTTTATCCGAAAATGATTAAATAATATATCTTTTATCTGCTGTGCTTGTTATTCTAATTCACTTTTAAGTGTTTTTTTACTGACTTAAATAAAATAAAATTGTAATCATATCCTTAATTGTAATAATGCAGTATCTTGACCAGCCACATTTGATTTTTTTTTAAATATTTTTTTTTTTTTTTTTTTTTTTTTTTTTTTTTTTTTTTTTTTTTAATACATCATCTCTGGCAGTTTATATGCACTAGTAACAATTTGTATTACCTATTTTAATTTGAATTATATTTACAGTACTCTTGTTTGGACACTCATGATTATTGTTATCAATATACATATACTTTTTCGGCAGTACTATTCTATCGTTATATTGTTAGATATTTATCTTGATTATTTATTGTTTGTTTTAAATATGTCATTGATGTACCATTATCATTTTTATGTTAATTCGATGTATTTACATTGTGTCACACGGCCCCAATGGAAATCAGTCTTGTAACTGTTTGGGCTTTTTTAACCGTGTATAAATAAAGATATCAATTCAATTCAATTCAATTCATTATTAACAAAGTAAAAGGAAATGCAGAAGTCAGATAGACGTGCCAGAAAATAAAAAAGGAATTATTGCTTTCATAATAATTTAGAATTTCGCTAAGTTACACTCTTTGGAAGTATAAATATACAGCACACATTCAAAAAGCAATTTGTTCCATAATGCTGGTCTTCTCAATTTTTCAGACTTTGTGTGAAAAAAAGAAGATGAAAGGACAAAAACCACAAAAGTACCTCCAACCACAAAACAATCTAACATACCCTTAATTTTTATTTTTTTTCTCTTGAGAATGGGGGGATGTGTTTTTCGTAACTTAAAAGTGAAAGGTAGTATGGTTGAATTAGGGCATCTTTTGAATTCTTTTAATAGCTGTAAGCTTTAATATAGCGCATTCTCAAGAAACATAAATCGGGACAAATCAATTTTTCACATGGAAATTCAAAAACTTGGTAAGGGTACAAATTTTTTAATTTTTTTTAAAAAGCTTTTTTGCCTTTATTCAGATCTTCATAATTATACAAAATAATGAATAGGAACACAATTGTTCTTACTGTATAAACATACATGTAGTACATTGTCTCATACATTATAAACACAGACATATTTAAAAAATATTTTCTTTTTGTATCCAAACTAATAAAGTACACATTCAAAACAAGTGTACAGAATGTGCTCCAATTCCTTTAAAAAGGAAAAGGTGACGGTAATACTTGGATACAACATTATACAAAGGAACAATTTTTACATCATAATAAGCAAATTAATTAGTTCAATATAAATTAAGCAATCTGAACAAAGATGTTCTTATATAAACAAAAAGTATAAGGTGAAGGTGCTGCTTCATAATCCATGATAACAAAATTTGTTATATTTACATATAATGATATGGTGCATTTTTCATTATAACTATATAAAGGTCTTGTATCAGTGGAGGTCTTTAACTATACGGTTATTTAAAAAAATAAAAATATAAAATATAAAAAACAAGCAAACACGATAGCAGATAAGTGTCCGGATCGATGAGAAAGTGAGGGAGTGAACAGGAAACAGGAATTACAATGTATTGGCAGTTTGTCCTTTAATTTTGCTTTTTCATGTTCTCTACAGCCTTACATATTTCTTTACTAGTTGGGAACTTTCCTTTTTTACGATTACTGTAAATCATATATTTGACCAAAATCAATACATGATTTAACAATATATTATCTTTCATATTTTTTCTGAAACCAAGCAACACGTCAATCCATTGCATATTAAGAAACTGAAACATCTTTAAACTGTTTAAACGAATAACTTATAACTGACAACAACAGCGCCCACTCACGATACAATCGCTCGTAAATAAATATAGCGCTACCTGAATGATGTGCGTACGCATACGAAAATTGACAATACCATCGACCACTGACGTTTCTTGGATCCGTCGACTAGGAGCTGAAAATAGTGCTACTTACATTGGATTCTCACTTAATGTATAATCAACATAGCTCGATGCCTTGCTGTTTGTCATAGTAGATATATAACACGTACTTTTGGATCATAGATTCTGAGAATCATCTGCGAAATTGAGTGGAATATCTTCAACTTGTAAGCGCAGTCGGCGCGAAGTTGAAGGGGTTGGGCAGCAGGAGCAGCTGAACCCGGTACTGTACGTTAAAACTCTACGTAATTATTGGATGCTATAATCTATACACAGATCTATGCGAGACGTCTCCGGACTGTGTTATTGAAGTGCGACCTCATTTCCTCAGCTCAATCAAGAAGGAAACGCAGTGGAATATACCGTTTTCAGGAATATTATTTGTAAGTTGATGGAATTTATGCTTTACCACAATGTATATTAATGCTAGGAGTATGTTTTAATAGTATGAGAAGTGAGTGACAAAATGTGATTCTCTTTCATCATGTCTCATGATCATGTCTCATGTAGTCACAAGTTAATTTATACACACGATTCCTAATCAAACATAGGCGATTAACATGCATACCTAGCATGCAAGAGAGTAACAAATACAGTACAGTATAGAGTGTTGTTATTAACATCTCTTTTCATCAATTATGTTAACTTTGTGAACAAGCTTTCAAAATTGTAAATGGAGAGTCGTAACACAACTTCACAAGCTACAAAAAGTAAAAATGGTATAACTTTAATATACGCCACAGATATCTTCAGATTTCCTTTTAGATGTAGGAGGCATATATACACAAGACGTGGGCAGTAGGGGCGCTGGTCTGAGAATAACGACAATCGTCTTCGTAAACTGGGACAGAGGCGTCCGCAAAAATAAGGATTTTCTGCATTTTCGCTGACGATTCTGATTTCCGATGCGAAAAACGAATTTTGTGATGATTTTATCAACTCATTTTACATTGACTTTGTACAGAGACTTTCATGTTATGAGCAATAAATCCTGACTAAGAAAGACAACCCCCCCCCCCCCAAAATAAGATGGTGAACTGGGGGTATTTTATTACGAGGAATCCTTTTTCTGCATCGCGTCGTAAGCGTGCAAATTGGGAACCAAAAGCTCGCAAAGCGCTGAAGGAAAAAAAAAGCGTCCTTGAAAATGCGGACGATCCTTCATTTTTAGAACGCATTTTGTCAGCGTATACAAGGATATCCTCATTTATGCGGACGATTCCCATTCTCAGACCAGCGCCCTTTAATATTTTAACAGTCTGATGGGCATACAGTGTACTTGCCAGGCGTTATCGTATTTGCTTCGTAAAATATAACAAGAATAGAGTACAAGTTTAGCAAAGGAACATGTTTGATTTGAGAGATTAAGCTTTTATAAATTTACTTATTTATATATCATGGATATAAATATACATTTTTTTTTGTGGGGGGGGGGGGGGGAGGGGGGTTGTTTGTAACTACATGTACAGTGTACATGTAATTGCATTGCGGGTCTTCATACATGTACTTCGTCAGTGTTGCAGTGAGCTGTTTGAGGCCACTGCAAAAATGCAAATTATGAATATTATGGTACTCGTTAGTCCAGACTAAAGGTTCAAATCATCAGTTAAGATCAGAAGGAGAGCAGTGGTCTTTTAACTGAGAGGTCCCAGGTTCAAATCCAAGTCAATGCGCTCGTGCCCATTGGTAATGAACGACCACCATTTCTATCCACAAAAGAAAATACTAAATTCCATTTTTTAAAGATAAAATTTGGAGGTCCTGATTAAATAAATATTGTCCAAATGATTCATTTTGAAAATGGAGGTGAAGGGATGCTCAAATTATTTCTAGTCATGGCAACCAAGACTGAAAATCCTGACTAAAGTACCTCTCTTATTTTAGGAATATGATATTCTATCTCTCTTGTAGATAATTCCTTAGTGGTTGCATGCTACTACATTTATTTGTATAGCATTCTATGAAACATGACTTACAAGTGCATTGCCTACTGTGTTGTTTATATTCCTACTGTGTTGTTTATATTCCTACTGGTGTCCTGTTAGATATCTGAAGCAATTACTCAATCTCTTTCATTAGGATGTGTGTACATGTACGTGTTTATCAGTTTCTTGTTTTTGGAAGGAAGCATCCTGTATCTTATTGAGTGACCATGCAAGTCTCCTTTCACTGATTATGTAACACCCATACATGAAACCCTGCTGAAGAGAGAGACAGTCTTGTTGTTTTGACCAGGGATGGGTCAATCTTATGTGTCAGTGATTCTCAATGCATGGTGGCTCTTACAGTTTATATAAGCTTTGGTGACTTTGGATGACAGGCTTTTTTTCACTTCACAGAGGACATCCTTTTTTTGTTATTGTGTGATTTTTTAAAACTTGGAGTCAGTTAAAAGTGTTTAGAAGCATGTTATTGAAATTGTGGTCAAGGTTTAGCTGCCCTATATTGATAAATTCAATATTGTAGGGCAATCCATTTTCTTTGGTAAGGAATACATGTTTCTGGATGAAGCATCTAGGCCTTCATGTTCATGCATGTTGAAAAACCTCTTGGTGTGACGGTCATACCATTTTACAAATATTTACATTACAATGATAGGCAGCCTGCATAGTGAACATTAGGAAAATGAGTGACATGCTTTAAATAATATGGTTATATTTGTATTTCTGTCAAGTTACAGGTATACCGGTAGTTTCATAACTGATACGTGTGACATGGAGCTGCATGTACTTTACATACACATGTACTTTACATACACATGTACATGTACTTTACATTGTGCTTGTAAATGTGTTAAGTAAGTTAAACATCATATGTATGTTGGCCTTAATTATGTTGGTCGACATATTGAAACACAGCACAGATGTACAATGTACATGTACATGTACACACAGGTATCCACATTCATTGTTTATACATAGTGTACACATACTGACTACAGGTACATGTATGTGAATTAATCTTGAGCATACAGTACTTCAGTGCACCAGCAAGGCCACTAAAAGGTACATGTACTATAATCTATAACATACACACCTTCATCAGTAATTGACACATTCAATGTAATTTAAATCAATTCCAATCAAAATCCTTTTTGTTCTGTTTTGAAAGAGATTTTTTGCTTCCAAATGTGTATTCATATGGTTTGGCATGTTTTGTTGGTGGTTAGTTTTTGTTTTGTAAGCAAAGCACTTTTTTAAAATATTCAGTAGATATAGTGAATTTTCATTATTGAAAGGGAGACTTTTTTGCATTAATCTTATTTTCTTTAACTACAGTTTGGCTCTTTTCATGTATGTTTTTGTTGGTGGTTAGTTTTTGTTTTGTAAGCAAAGCACTTTTTAAAAAATATTCAGTACCGGTAGATAAAGTGAGTTTTCATCATTGAAAGGGAGAATTTTTTGCATGAATCTTATTTTTTTAAACTACAGTTTGGCTCTTACTTGCTGTGTACACATGCTGCTGCCAACTATATTTGACTGTAAGATTGAACATGAACACCATACCTAGTTAATGTAGCTTGAGTTTCAGATCAGTTAATCTACTTTTTATTTAACAAGGATAATCAGAATAATTTAAGAAACATTAGGCCTACAGGTACATGTACAATGTATGAGTACAGTATGCACCGAACAGTACAGGAAAAAAAAAAATCAAACAAATTTCAGGGGCTACTTTTCATTTTAATTTGTTTTGCATTGAACTCTATGCATATTTTTGGGGGGCTCTTTTATGACTTTCGGGGGCTAATTAGCCCAGAGCCCCCATGTATTTTTTCCCCATGGAACAGTATTCAAATGCAAGCCATGACATTATTAAAGTTCATGACATTACATGGATTCCCTATGATAATTAATTGTTCTATACAAAAAAAACAAAGTTAAAAAAAACCATACCGGTACATGTATAATGCCTTGTCTAAGTGCGACATGCATTTACAAAATTCAAGGAAAAAATGCTTGCTAGTACTTAAGTATTAAGAAGTCCCAATGATGGTCTGGTTGGGTAGACTAATTAGTTAGTGCCGATTTATTCACTGTCAGTTGTAATATTTGTTTTTCCTACGAACTTTGAACGACCTTGGTAGAAATACTCCATGTGAATATTGATTAGCCTTCTCTCCTGGCCTGCATATGATTTTAGTTCTACTCACTGCTGGATTATAAAGTATTTAGGTCATTACCAACGAGTTTATGGTGGAACATCCATGTAGGTGAGCTGTAATAGAGAGGCACTGAACAATCTACATTTTCATGTGGTTGTTTTGTTTTCGGGGAGGGGGTTGGAGATGGTGTAATAAAATCATGAATGCTGAAGTCAAATTGAACCCCTTTGAATGCCATCGTCCTTGTCTTTAACTAGAACGTAATTATGTAGGACCCATTCACACAAAAGAAAAACCTTGTATTTGTGAAATTAAAGAAATCGTGTTTTGTAGGGCAGGGTTATGTGCCATTCTTATGTGACATTTGCATGGTGTGTTGATCTTGATTTACAGTAGATAAATGTTCATACAGAATGATGCCCAGAAACATCAATGCAAGCAAATTGTATTTATTTATTTAAAAAATTATACAAAGCATCTATAAGGCCTTTATTTATTCAGTGTGAATGAGGGTTACTGCACGTTGTGCTGGATATATGCATGTAGACCTGCAATACATGTACATTTATCTTTAATAGGAATCTGTATGTCTCTTTCCACATTGTATTCTAAAGCAAATATTTTATTATTTTCTCTTTTAGTCCGGGATAAGGATAGTATGGGGCTAAGCAAAGTACGGGGTTAAGCAAAAAAAGTGTGAAAAGAGTGATGGCTGCCCAAAATCTAATTCTGGATTGCCAACATCTTACAATTTTCATCATTAGGCTTATGTAACACTCTCTATAAAATTCATTCGGGACCCACTTCGTAAGTTACTGTGAAGCCCTGCCTATGAGAAGGCCATAAAAATCAAATGAAAATTGGCCCCCAAATTGTAATATAACAAAAACCCATCAAGGAGGCATACATGTATATAGACAAACGTTAGGCTTAGTTTGAGACATCTATTAATATTTCTGTCATTCATATGATTAGACTTACAAGTACAGCAGTTATTCACAATAGAACATTTAGTTGAAAACTAACAAGGTCGGTAGTTGTCAAACCAAGAAAGGAGAGTTAGAAAAGCAAAGAACAGAACTGATATTTTGACTTGACTCTTGTCTGGCTTTAGTTGCTGCCGTGCTCAATTACATTAATTTCCTCAATTTTGACAAGTCAGTCACCACATTGTGGATATGAATAATTTTAGCGAAAGAGAAATGCACAAAACTCGCTAGGCAAGCCAAATTTACACATGTAGGGCCGTGTGTCATAGTGCAGAAATCCTGTGGCCTA